AAAAAAAATTACCAGGTGGCAAGCATCTTCCCATCATGTGAAACCGAACAACCCGAGAGCGGACGATCATCCCCGATCTCACTGCACTCCAACACCAAATTCCGTGCCTGCTTCAACGACCAATCCACCTCAGCATCCAGATCCTCATCCGGATCCTCTTTTCTCCGTTTCGCCCGGTGGAGCCTCAAAGCAGACTTCACAAGTGAATACTTCACAATCTCCTTCCGAGCCTCCAGCAGGGCACGTGAGCCCTCCGTGTAGAACGGGTACTGAATATCCTCCGCGGGCTCCGCAGCCGCGCCCGATGCTCCCTCCTCGTCCTCATGGGCTTTCATCAGCTTTTCTAGCTGCCCCTCGGCATCCAGCCTTGCCATGAGCGCCCTCAGGCGGTCCCGCCTTTCCATCTCCCTCTCCCCAAAGAGGGTAATGGGCTCGCCCAGCCGCCTGAGTCGGGCCCGCACGGCGTTGTCATTGGTGGGGACGGCCAAGGCGGCTGCCCGCCGCGACATGAGAAGTTCCTGCACAGCTTTCTCCTGCCTCTCCTTAACCAGCTTGCTTTCCTCCGACACTTGGTATCTCTGGGATGAACGGTCCGTGTCTGACTCATCGGAGTGGGAATCGGAATCGGAATCTCCGGGTTTAAAGTCTCCACCATTCTGTGGCGGGGGAGGCCGGAGGACGGGAGGGTGGACGGGCAACGGAGCTAATGGTCTTGGTACTGGGAGGACCGGAATAGGGGCAATAGAAGGTATGAGGGGGGTTGTGATGACAGGCGGGATTGAGGGTTGAGCTAGCGGAACCGGGATAGGGTTGATAGGAGGAAGAAGTACAGTATCATTGATGGAGACTGGAGAGGGGGCAGTGGGTGGGGTTAAGGCGGGGATTTCCTCATCTATGTCCATGGTTCCTAGGTCGAAAAAATAAAATCACAAAAACAATTCTTAGCCTCGTAATAGTTCACCATGAGAAAATGCAATGCATATATATGTCTACTAGATACAACAGAATTTATCTGACATAAAAAACTAGCAAACAAGAGTACCCTTAGAGGCTGTCAAGAATAGGGGTGTTCATCGGTCGGTTCGGTCGACCGACCGAACCGAACAACGAAAACCGAATTAACCGAAATGCTATAAGTCAAAAACCAAACCGACCGAAATGTATCCTTAAACCGAAAATTAACCGAACCGAAATATTCGGTTGGTTAACCGAATTTTTACACAAAAATAATTTTTTTAAAGATTATTTCCATACATAAATTCTCACAAACACACATACATGACCAAAAGGACGAATCAGAAATGGAACATACTTACATACATGATTCTCACAAACATATATACATGATTAATAAATTTAGTCAACATAGACATCTCACAATTCACAACACATACATGATCTTTACTACCAGTATGCAATTACAAAATAAAAAAATAAAAAAATAAGACTTTGATGGAACTGATATTTTGGGAGGGTGAACAACCGTGTGCCCAGCCGACGCTGAACAACCACCGACGACAACGAGTTCCTTGACCGGCGAGAAGGAGTCACGGACGCAGCTTCCGGGGACGATTTTTTACGGAGAAGATTATTTGGATTTGGGCGATTTAGGGCGGAGGAGGAGCGATGGCTGTAGATTTGGGACGGCGGAGGATTTGGGAAAGGGAGACTCACTGGGTGATTTGGGGAAAAGAGATCGACGGCCGATTTGTGAAAGGGAGATGGAGAGCGGAGGAGCAGCGGCGGAGGGTGTAGGGGCAGAGGATTTGGGACGACGGCGAGGATTTGGGGAAGGGTTTCTCATTTCTGAAATGTGAAATACTGATTTGGTTATGTTATTTTATATTTGTATTAAAATATTATATTATATAATATATCATATATACAATACATAATATTATATAAATATATATATTATACGGTCTGTTCGATTATTACGGACATTTTATGTCTGAAAACCGACACCGACCGAAATAACCGAATAATAGCAAAATGAAAACCAACTACCGATCTAGTCGAAAAAACCGAACCGAAATTTTCGATTCGGTCGAATTTCGGTTCGGTCGATTTTAGTCGAATTTTGCACACACCTAGGACTCAAGATACCCTTGAAAACTCTACACACAGGAAATCATAAGCACTTAATAAGCCAAAATCAAAAGATGGTAACACAAATGAGATAATGAAGCTCTTTCTAACTCGTATTTCCTCAAGTTTACTCACTTCTCTCCAGTTGACCATAGCTTCTGCAGTCAACATAAGTAGTCTCGCTCTCGGCACCAAAATCATCTCATCCAGAACAATCAGATGCAAAACCCTAATGTAAGACACAATAAAATAGAGACTTATTGCAGTTGCGCTCAGCCCCAGCCCCACTCCTTGAAATAAATCAATTTTTTCCCCAAAACCCCAAAATTCACATGCAATGAACAACAAAAAAGACGCAGCAAATCATAATCACTCCAAAAACCAGTAGATCCGAGTGAAAGTTTGAGAACAAGCATATATATACCTTGATCGAATAGGCTTGACTTCACTCTTTTTTTCTCCTTTTTTTTTTCGCCCGGCTCCAGATAAAACCCAGATGAGACACACTGAAATTCAACACTTCTTCGGGCTAATCGGAAACCTAAAGCTATGGCCGAGCAAACACCCAATGATTCCATCATCTATGTACATGATTCCTGGGTTGAGAAAACAAAATCACAAAAACAATTCTTAGGGCTTGATTGTTTATGAAATAATTTGTTCAAATTGAGTTATTTTGGTTAACTATAGTTAATTTTGAAAAAGGTGGTATGGTTAGTTGTAGTGGAATTTTAAGAATGTATTAAAATAATATTTAAAATAAAATAATTAAAATTGATTTGATGTAAAAGTAAGAGATAAATGATTGAAAATGATAGGTAGTTAAAATTATGTGAGTGGATGTATAGTGAATTAAAGTTGATGTGATGTGTAAGAATGATTGGTTTGTATTATTTAATTATATGAATAATATTAAAGAAAGTGGGGTTGGGTTAAAGTTGAGTTAGATTTTGAGTTGAAATAAAAGTGAGTAAATTATTTCATCATGAGGGAATGCAATGCATATATCCACTAGATACAATTGGCTCGTATAGAATTGTTACTTATTTCCAGTTTCCATCCAGTTCTAGTTTTTGAAAAGTAAATTGATGCATAAAATGAAATTCATCTATCGTTCACTGTTCAGATACACCAAAAACTGGCAACTACATTACTCGAGAAACTTAAAACTAGCTAAAACAGAGAACAAAATGTACTCATAGGGACTTCAATATAATCACATAAAAGGGCTACACCGCTACAAACTCCTCAGCTCACAACCACTACAAATTAATTTAGAAATCCAATAACTTCTGTTGTTAAAACGGTAATTAACAACGATATCAAACTGATTATTACGGTCAGTAGTCTGAATGATTCAGTGAAGAATGCATATAAAGCATAGGAAACAAAGTGTTTTGAATATTATTGTATTTCTCTCTCTTTTTTCTTGGAGAATCTATTTTCTCCTTTTATATTTATTTACAACATTTATCTAAAATGTAATCATTACATGGGAATAGTCAACGGCGGCTAATTGCCATTCATCTTGGTAACATGCCACTTGGCCAGGCGTAATGATGAGTTGTACTGAGCTGGCGTCGCCTTATAGTGTCGACGTGGCACGTCATAAATATGGGTTCGTATGATTATAACCGATATGTCATATCCGACATGTGGTAACCGACATGTAATAACCGACATGAGATATCGGTCAGTCGACGAAGATGTCGGTTCTTGATGAATTTTTACCCGTTATGTAATTGTCTTGAAACCTGTGAAGACATCATCTACTTGTATGAATTTAATCATCCTTCTACGGAACATAATCATCTGATCAGCGTCGCTTAACTTGGTTTACTGAAAATGATGTCAACAAGGTGGCCCCCAGCATTAATGGTTGTCTTGAAAGAGACGGGCAGTGATGCTGAAAATTCCCTAGTAATCATTTAATCTTGAACAAATAAGACATGTCGGTTTTGCAACTATTCCTCCGATATCCTTACACTTGGTAGAAATAATACTGAGAGTTGAAACGGCGCAATTTATTAATATTAATCGCAATGTTTACTGATAGTACTAACGGTCACTTTTAATAGGCCACGTAGCTGCTATTAAGAGGCACGATTTTCAAGAGTCGCGTCGACTCGCAAATTCAGAACGTGTAATCCACGCGCCTCTATTTCTCCCGGCTTCCAACGGTCGCTACTAAATTTAGGGTTTAGTATAAATAGGAACTCTTCTCTCAAGATTTACTTTACTTTCATCTTCTTTCTGCAATCGACATCTTTATCTTCTTGCAATTTAATTGTCTTTCAACTGCACTCAAAGCATCCCAGATCTGTGAATTTCCTCTTACGGTAAGTGTTATTTTTCGGCATATTTTTCATCATATCATGAGTGTATCGTGGGCATCTTCTGGCGACGACGAGTTGGATGTCATGATGATCAACATGGTACACTCCGGAGAGATGGAATTACTGTCTGAATACAGTCGGTGGGATCCAGTGTTCGTCGAACGCTTGAAAATCCAGTTAAACGATATTGAGGGGGACAAATTGGTAGAGAAAAGCGCTATTGATGACCCGAGATTCTTGAGGCGACCCATTAGAAGATGGCCAGACCCCGAACTCACATCCCATGGTGAACCGAGCATATTAACAGATGCCGATGTTGTCATGCTGCGAGGTGAAATTCGGGTCCCTACGTCGGTACATTTATTTGCACCATACCCGGGCGAAAGGATCACATGTCCGCCACCTGGATGCGTCGGTGTATTTGCTGAAAGCTTAAGATCAGGACTGCGATTTCCTCTGCCGCGCATAATTACCGAGTACTTAAGGAATTGGGAATTCCCACTATGCCAAATTGCTCCGAATTCGTGGAAACGAGTTATCAGTTTGCTCGTGCTTTTAGCCGAGAAGAAATGGGATTTACCGTCAGCAAGGGACATGAGAAGCATGTTTACCTTTAGGAAAAGCCCAGATAGACAAGTGACAGACCCACTTGTGACTTTCTCACTTGTCGGTAAACCTCAATCTAGAGTCAAAGTCGGGGAATTAATAGCTGAAATCCCCGACACACTCCATGGATTCCAGGAAGAATGGCTATGGATTGGTGGAGATTTGGCAATGTGCCGACTTCGCCAACGACCTCCTCGCCAATGGGACTAGTATCCCGATGGCAATTAAATCTAGTTACTGTAAGTTTCTTATTTTTTCTTCACTTTGAGTATTAATACCTTGTCTTTTGTCTTCGCTAACAGGTGGACTTTTGTGACCTTGTAGCAAAGCCAGCGGGAAGAAGAGAACCCAAATTTGAAGGTCTACTGTACGATCGGGTGGACAAGTTGTTTGATGTTTCTCAAAACAAGCGACGATATCAGCGACTTGTGAAGGATTCTCGGTTAGAACTAGCTGGTTTATCCCCCGGGGTATTAAATTCTTCATTTCAACCAGGTACATTTCTTACTTGCTTGGTTTTATCCTTCACAGTGACAATGTCGGTCTAACTTAAACATCTTGTGGCAGTCTATTATCCATTGCTGGGATACTTCGATTTCGAAGATCCCGTAGAAGCAGAAGAACATCGGAGACATAATCCGAACTTTGATCTGAAGAACAAGGTCGGAAAAAATAAAAATCTTCGATCAACCGAGATGGCTGGACGGATGAATCTTCTGAAAGCCTGGAAGAAGAATCCGAACCGACCTCAGGGAACAGTCGGTGAGACTTCGACGACAAGAGTGGAGCCGACGCCGGCTATTGTGAGTGAGCCAGTAATTTCCGACATCACGCCCCTCGACGTCGCTCCGTTGCAGCAGGTGATGACGCCGGTAGACGAGCCTACTGCGGTGATCGACATCTCGCAAGAGGTGTCGGAAGAGCCTTGTTTGAATGTAGTCCAACGGCGCAAGAGAGCCAGCGTATCTCACGTTGCGGAGAGGATGAGGAAGAAACAAGATGCTGGCGCCGGCAAGGACAAAGAGGAGGAACCTGAAATCGTTTTGAGGGATTCCTTCCTCAAAATAATTGAAAAGAAAGCTGCAGAGTTAAAGCTGCCAGAGGACGTATTTGATCCATGGTTCACAATGTTTCAGACGGTTGCCGAACCAAAAGTCACTATCAACCATCGGATCCCCAGTGAGGCGATGAAGGCAGCGAAAGTTCCGCTGATGTCATGGGATCCGAAGACTCACGCCGGGATCGCGTCTCTGCCCGACGATCAGAAATTTAGCTATGCCCGAGGTTGCTTGGGACGGGCACTTGTTAGCTTTATTGCTGCTGAGGAGAGTTATCGAGGTAGAGTACATGAGCTTGATGAGAAACAACACGAATTAAGTCTGAAGGAGGGTGCCATAGCGTCCTTAGAAGACGAGAAATCCCGCTACGAGACGTCACTGTCGGAGAAAGACGCCTAGTTGAAAACAGCACAAACCGAGGTGAGTGCCCTTAAGACAGAAAAGGAAAATCTGTTGCTGGCCCATGACCTCACGTCAATTCATTTGGCCAAAGTTGAAGAAATGGCCAAGGAAAAAGACGAGCAGCTCATGAGGTTAAGGGCTGAGCTTCAAGCCGTCCGCAAGGACCGATCCGATAAGGATGCTGAACTGATCCGATGTCGTGAGGCTCATGAGATCGCTGTGGGTAAGCTCCGTCAAGAGATGACAGCCGCTGTCGAGCTCAAATTCCAGGAGGGCATTGATGTCGACAAGAAAGCGGTGGCTGAGTCCAATAA